GTCTGATGAGCTCCGGCAACGAAGATGATTCTCTTGGTGGCGATCATAATCGTTGCCGTCGTTATCATGATCATGATCATCATTATGGTCATCATCATCACCATCATCATCAGCATCACCATGGTTGCGAGGAACCCTCAAAGGGATGTGCTTTTGCGTTTGTTGGAGGTGTAGGAGAAACCCTTCGAGTGGGTGACGGTGGTGATACTGGCGATGGACGTCAAGCTCGTGTCTCCAAATGTTGCCTTTGCCGTAATAATTATCCAACCATCCATGCCTCCGTGCATGCATGCCTTCATGCATGCGTGCACATGTGCAAAGTTTCGAAGCTGTACACGAACTGGTGGTTTGAACTCATGGCACAGAGCCTACCTCCCGACCTCGGCACGACTGAAACTTCGACGATCTCGAAGGATGCGCTTTCCAAGGCTGCCGTTGCTAGTCAAGGTAAATGTGCCCAGCATCGTGTGAACTGCCGTAGAGACAGTGATGGTAGCAGCAAGATTAGCAGCAGCAAGACCAGCCATAGAACAATAAAGACAACAGCTGCAAGGATGGCAGTCCTTATTGTGGTGATGGTGGTGGTGGTGGTGGTCGTCAGCAGCACGAGTAGAAGTCGGAGAGTGAGTGGGAGTGGGAGTGGGAGTGAGAGGAGGAGTAGATGTAGAAAGTAGGAGTAGCAGGAGTAGTAGTCGTCGTCGTAGTAGGAGGTGGAGGAGGAGCAGGAGTAGCAGCAGGAGCAGCAGCAGCAGCAGGTCGGTGCGAGGGCATTTGGTCCAGCGTGCATCTTGCAGGTCCTAACGTGCATCAGCTTCAGCGACTCATGGCGGACTGTCCTCCAAGAGTGCATAGAAGGGCACAGCGCGGAGGACCTATCACGCGATGACAACCCACTCCAGAGCATTCTGTTTGCCGGATCAGGATGTGGTGATCTACGATCGCTTTGATCGTGCCATCCCGGTCTTGCAAGATTCCTATGTCCCTGATGCTGGTGATTTCCCCTTGAGGGCTTGCGTTAAGGCCAGGTCACAAAAGTGCCCAGCAAGAATTGCATCAGTGTAGCCACACGATGCCACACTCACTATGTTTCTGGACTGTTTCTGGCCAACGGCGAGCAATCCACAGGAGAGGCCCAGTCATGCCCTCCGAGAAGCGCTGCGGTCCCGGAGTTATGCAGTGGCCATTGCAAGTGGAAGGGATGGAAGCCTCAAGTTAAGTTAGTGACCAAGGAGGGTGAGGATGTGCGACAGCCCATCTAGGAGCCGACACGCAGATGCTATGAGTTGGACTCCGCAGTTGGTTTTTGCATTTGCAGAATCATGACTTCAAACAAAGCGTTTGAGCATTACTTGCCCCATGGTGGTCACATCTGCCTTTCAGACTTCAGAAGGGCAGGTTGCTTAAACCTGCAGGTTTTGGACATACTTGCGAGCAACATGCAGCTCGGCAGGATTGCTGATGTGGAGGACCCTCCATCGGCGTCGCCCAACACCAATGTGTCTCTCTGAAATGAAGATCGCTCTGAGAGTGCTTATACGCCGTTGTATCTGCAAAAGACTTGTCATGACTTGTCTATCACTAGACTCTCCTAAAGCAACAAGCCGTAACAAGCCCCAAGGCGTTGGCAGTTATGGTTGAGCCGTCATGGCGCCACCGCTTGGCTCCATCCGTTCAGGAGGGTCGCGTGGAGCTTGGACAAAGTTCTGCGAGTCAATTCGTGGGCATATGTTGACCCTGCTTCGGCTGGGTGCACCATCCTAAGGAAGAGCCGAGAAGCCAGCCAGGCTGCGGGACGTTAATAAGGCTGAGTAGCTTGAACGGTTGAGGGATGCATGCATCGATGCGTTCAGGATTCAGGTCCCGTTCACCTGGGCCGTGACAGCGGTCATCAGCTGCTCTGCCAGAACCCTTGCCGCCTGCAAATCCACATGTCTCATCGCGACGATTGCCATTCGCTATGTGCTATCCAGGTCTTCCTCTCTTGTGCAGCAATGTTCCTGCCGTGCACAGCTTAGAGTCTTCGCAGCGCGGTGCTCGAAGCCCGGAGTTGTCGTTGTTGGAGCAAGGTTGGAGCACTTTACACAGCCAGAGACCGAGCAGAGCATCTCTTGGTCAGATGGGTTCCGTGCCTCGTCCAGGTCCATTCGTTCCCATGCTATGACATCGTGCAGCAGCGCGGCGCTTAAGCGCTGTGAGCGCCACAAATAAGAGAAGGAGCTGCGCACAAGTTGCTAACCCAGCCAAAAGCATCTCCGAGCGAGAGTATGTAGCAGTGGGGAGCGGGCTGTTGCTCTAGGGTGCCCTCAAAAACTCTTCGTCACGTTCTGCACTACAGGTCGGCATGATTTGCTTTGATCCTTCACACCCCACAGCCCAACCTTGAGGTGCAAGGCAGATCCAAACACATCTCATCGATGAGCTTGCCTCTCAGTGAGACTTTCGCAGGTTCTGGAATTGCATGCTGCAAGTAGCAGTTCAAACTCGGCTAGCTAAGTGCGGCCCACGGCAGTGTGAAGACTAATGGAACCCGACGAAGCCAAGGATCGTTGTGGGCAATGTGTCGGAGGCTGGGCACGTGGAGCAGTGCATGGCTCGCTTTCGAGATTCAGACTTCTACAGATTTTACTCAGCCCCTGGCTTGTTTCTGAAGCCCAACTCCTCGACAGCCACTTTGGGATTTTAGACCAGAGACCACCGTCGTGTGGCCGCAGCGATGCTACTGTCTAATTTCCGCAGGTGGCTCCTACAGGTCTTCTTGATTCGGTTTCGACGAAGATCAAGGACGTTTTATGCAAGCTTACGGAGTGAGTCTTTTGTGCTCAACTGACATGCATCGTCTAGTCCAGTCGCTCTGCCTATATCAAGCGGGGAACATCCGCTGTCGAGGACAGCATCATCGTTTCTGCGGACAGAGCAGTCGAGTCTGCAGCTCCTGGCTCGATTGAAGGATTCTCATGGGCTGGGGCTGAGACGGCTGAGTTTTGAGTTCTCAGTCCGCCAGGTCCTGGGGCACATGGTGGCCCGGAAAAAGTTCAACGTGAATTCCTCGAGCCTCAACAGCTCCTCGTCGAGATTCTAGCGCTTAGGACACCACTTGTGTCCGTCCGTGCTCGCGAATAGCAAGGCGCAGCGTGGCGCCGCGAGGCCTTCATCCACTGTCCTATTTACATGCGGATGTGGCACGGGGCTGCAGGGTCGGCAGGCTCCACAGTGCTGTGCCAGGTTGGCATCAGGGCTTGGGCTGAGATGTCTTCGCAATGCGGCGGAGGTTCGCAGCCTCGCAGCTTTCAACCTGTCGCAAGCATGCGCAAAGTGCAAGCAAGCGCAAAGAGGTCACCAGAAATGTTCGGTTCGAAGCGCAGAGTGCCAGGGAAATCATGCTCCTTGAGCGGCATCTACGTGGCTTCGGACAGCGGGGCGCAACTCTGACATGTTTAGCAGTTCACCACCTGCAACTTGGCCAAGACACAGCCGAAGCCAATGCGAGACTAAGCAGGAGCACCGTGATGAATCCGCCAATATGGCTCTTGTGACATTTGTGACATGCCATAGGTTCGCGGGTTTTTCAGTACAGTCGCCGACGGACCCCTCGCCCTGGCCTCACTGGGCTGGGCCTGCAGTTCTCGACAGATTTCTTCAGGTAAATCTGGTGCAGCCGTGTGTACAGTAAACGCAGTAAGCGCCCAGGACCGTGTTTGTCATGCGAGCAGTTAGTGAGGCTAGTCGCCCGCAGTTCATGAATCTCGCAGTTACATTCGGCTTGATGACGTCCCCCATCAAGGCTGCCAAGTCCAACCGGCCTGCTCTGGGACGCACCTGCCGGAGGCTCCTGACCGCTTGTGCAATTGAAACTTAGTTCGGTTCCGGATGTCGCTAGACCCAAACGTGGCATATTCGCGAAGACTCGTAACTGAAACGTGATTCATGTACGTTTGCAGAGCAGCAGGCTCTCCTTTATCAAGCCGCAAGACAGATTTGACCACGGGTCGGCGCCTTTGTGTGATCCATAGTCGTGCTGTACTATCCACAACCCTGTTGACAATAAGCATATTAACATGCTGCTCTCTGTGATGCCCATTCTGTCCTCGAACCCTGTGTGGATGCAGCCAAGGTCGGCGTGAAGGTGCCACCGAGCTCCAGGCCACACAGTAGCTGTCACGACGTTGATAAGGGCACCAACCCGGTGCTGAGAATCTACTGTCGTTCTTGTGAAGCTTCACGACTTCATGCTTGCACCTGGCACTTGATGTTCAGGGAAGCGTCCATCTTGAAGAAGCTTTTCGTGCCCAAGAGCACAGCGAGGCAAATCCATGTGTTGAAGCTGCAAAACGTATCGAAGTGTGAGTGGCCTTGCGAAGCTGGTGACATGGGTAGCTGAGGTAGAGTTCAGGCAGTCGCTTTGATCGTCTGAACAGCATAGCTTCATGCGGTTTGCTACGCTACACAGCCTACATGCTTCAATGTCATTACACCTGAGGACGCTCCAGTCGCCAGAAGTTGGCGCGGGACCCACCCGGCATCCATGCAAGTACTCGGGATCCCTTGCAGACGTGATGGAGGATTTTATGTAGTGGCGCAGCTGCACATGCCGCAGTGAACCTCGCTGTTGGTGCCAGGTCGCGAGTTTCCATGCTTGAGGATGGCGGCTCATCCATGTTCTGGACTGTGCCGGTTGCGTGCGCCCAGCGACTCGGGCTTGCCGCGCGGTAAGAGTCTGCAAGTCGCTGCGCTGGTTGTGTTGCTGCTGAATTCATGTTAGTCCCGTCTCGGCACGCTCGGCTTCCAGCCAAAGGCTTTTACAATAAGCGACTCTCTCACCCAGACAGGAGCACGGTGCAGACAAATAAGCTGCAATGAAGTTTTCCTCAGACAATCATCCCTCGCGCTCCCCTTCAGCTAGCAGCTAGCAGGAGCAGGAACAAATATACTGAACGTCTTGCCAAGTGTACATTCAATTATCTGCGTTTGCGATGCCTGCTGGCCTGTGATTGTCATTGGCCATGCATCCAGCTTACCACCACGCTGCCACAGTGCAGTATGCACACCCGCAACAAGCGCAGCCGGCATTTCATCCCACCGCTGCCCAGGCTGCAGGAGGGTTCACAGCGGGCCAGCCTGCGGTGCAAAGCTTTGCCGGAGCCCCCGGACAACCACAGTTCACTTTCTATACGAACACACCCGGCGCGATGCCATCGCAGCCACTTGGTGGGTTCCAAGTCGCTGGGTTTCCAGGCACTCAGCCCCAGGTAGCTATGGGCATGGTTCCCACCGCTCAGACCGCAATGCAACTTCCCCCTTCGGTTAGCTACAGCCCAGCGTATCCCCTTGCAGCCGGAGTGATGCCTCCACCAGCCCACAGCATTGTACAGACCAGTCAGGGTCATCAACCTGCAGAAAGCGCCCAGTCCGAGAGCAGCTACGAGTCGAGCTCGGAGGAGGAGGCTCAGGAGGGCATGGAGGGCCAGGGCGATCAGGGTCAGCACGACGCCAAGGCGGAGAGTGAAGGCGCCCGGTCTGCAGGGGTATAATATATGCTTACTGCAGCGGAATGCATCGATATGCATCGATCATGGCCTTATATATACCCTGAAGGCATTGCAGCGGCGAAAGCGGAAGATGCAGAAGAGCCTGATGTAGTGACGGTTCCTTCCTCAGTGCCCTCTTCCGTGTCATTGCCACCACCCTCCATGCCCACGTCTGTGCCGCCCTCTATTCCGGCGTCGATGCCGGTCTCGGAGCAAAAGCCAATGTCGGAGGCGGGGTAGATGTCGATGGTAGCAGGGTGGGGCCCTGGATGGCAGATGGATCTTCTGAACTTGCAGGTTGTGCACACGGCAGTGTTTCGTGTCAAGCTTCATGTTGCCCTGTAGGATTCTGTCAACAATGCCAACTACCAGACAGTGTATGGGGCAGCGCCAGGTGCTCCTGAGGTTTCGCGGCCTGTAACTTTGAGCCTCGCAACTTGACAGCCCCGCGTGACCTCTCAACAGGATGTGAACTTGCAGACGCGGCTCTCCAACTCCAAGGAGGCCTCGGCACTGTAAAGAATCCTCCGAAGAGCTCAGAGGGCTCTGAAGTTGCGAGGCACTCAAACTTCCTCTGGGAGCAAAGCCCGCAGACGAGCGCTTGGACCAGGGCCTCAGCAAACTGTTCAGGCTGTCAAGCGACCGAAAAGTATCTTCCATGAGACTTTGCGCATGAAGTTCATCTACCGTCACTCTAAGGACAAGTTCCTCTTTGGCCATGGATATGCCATCGCTCGGGAGGTGCAGCCCCGACAAACCTGTTCTCTTACCGGAAGCTCACTGCTCTCTATGCGCTTCTCCTTCTCCTTCTCCTCATCTCTGTCTCTCTCTCTCTCTCTATTAGGATTTGTTCATGTATAGGTGAGGCAGCATTCCCGCGACTTTTAGATCCCTTGCACTCCTACGCACTCCTTACGTGTTGTATCTTCTCGAACGTCCCAGGTGCTGCCGCCAAAAGCCAGCCTTCCTGCTGGAGCACTTGGCAAAGGTGGACGTAAGACCCCGAAATTTTGGCGGGCTGCGGGCTGCTCGTGAGGTGCCTTTGGCGTTGTTTATCGTGGTTCCCGCCGACGTGACAACACTGAAGTCGCCCTGAAGGCGGATTAGCCTTCGGAGCTGTTCGATCAAGAGAGCTCTATAGCCCATAGGAGGGTAGGGTGCTATGCTGGGCAGCAGACTCTTCCCTGCCGTGATCCTTTGTTGCTAGCACGAGCGCAGCCCTCAGAGGTCTCAGAGAATGCTTCGTCGGCCGAACCGATGCTTGAGCAGGCCTGAGAGTCGGATCGAAGCGATGTGCGCATCTAGATTTCGGGTGGTGAGCAGGTGTTTAATCAGTTCACCCGTTTAAGCTGAATCGACTGCCTGCTACCATGTGTTGCAGGAGATCAACATCCTGAAGCTCTTGGATCACCCAAGCATTGCCGCGAGCATAGTGCCACCTTTTTTTATGGGGCGGAATTGCAAGTTGGTTCAGATCGAGTTAGCAATGTCCTGCCGGGATGAATGCTTGAAATCTTGCGGTCTTTGTAACCTTGAGAGTCAGCTGAGCATGCGTGCAGTAGCAGAAGCAGTCTTGCTTGATCCGGGCTCTGTAAGAAGCTTGGGCCGACAACAATCTGCAACTTCTCAGTGGGTCCTATGAATTCCGTGGGCTGCAAGCAAGCGGTGCTAGGAGACCATAACGGCTCGTCCTCAATGTCCTCTGTCCGTATTATCCACAGAAACGGAAAGCAGGTGTGCCGCCGTCCAGAAACCCCCCCCCTCCGAATGGTGATGACATGTAGGTTAAGGACACAGTTCAGCCGCCTGTCCTCGCATTTGAGATGCGAGGTCCGCTTCATGGAAGCCTTCGTCGACAGAAGCAGCGACTCCATGGTCATCGCCATGCCCCCAACTGCAGCCAGTGAGACTCAAGCGTTTCGATCTTAAGCTCGTGCTCACAGCTTTGGGATTGAGCCGCGAGGCCATGGAACTTGTCACCGGGGGCGATCTGCTTTCCTCTCTGACTGGTGAGCCGCAGATCTACGAGGACACATCAAACATCCGAGCCGTTGTGCCGATGTCGGATAGGCTCAGCCTGTTCAACTACCTACCCGATATGTCTCAAGGAAATGGTTCCAGCGCTCGTCTCCCGAAGCAGACTACAGGGCATTTCTCGTAACCTCTTTGCAAGCGTGCTCACCTACGTGGCTCCTCCAGAAGCATCCTCTTATACGAGTGCTACTTGCAGCACCACCGCCACTATCCGGCACCATTGCCACTAGCACCAGCACCGGCGTCAGCACCAGCGCCAGCAGCAGCGCCAGCAGCAGCAGCAGCAGCAACACCGCCACCACCACCACCACCACCGCCGCCGGTACTGTAGTCATCATGGTCCTCGTCGTCCTAGTGCGCAGCTTTTGTACTCAAGATTCGACCGGTTGATGCTCTGCAGCTGGGCTCGAGGGGGCAATCGTTTTTCCTTTACGAGAGCAGACTGCGGCTAATGGCCGCTTCCAGCGGAAGATGGATGCAAAGACTCGGACAGATCTCGCGATGTCTTTGCAGTGCGAGGCCTAGCTGCCGGAAACTCTTGCAGGCAATGCCTTGTTATACGAGCCATTCCCATCAGGTACCGAGTGCAGCGCCACCGAGGGCTTCTACAGCCTCGTTGCCAACGACATCGATGGGCATTTCAGCTGCACCCTGCCTTGCCACAAAGCTTCCCCTGTGCTGAGAAGCTGAGGAATCCTGTCCAGTTCGCCGGCATGCAGGGCCGTGCCGTGCTGGTTGCCAACGTGGCTTCACGATGAGGGTTTACTAAGAAACACTACGCTGAGATGATTGCCACTTGACGTCATGTTATGCAATGTGAGCTTGGCCTTCAGCTTCAGGCGTCTCCAGGAAAGGCGCACCGCTGGACGTGCTGAAATCTAGATTGCTTTCCTTGCCTCATACTCAATTCTCGGAGCTTCGCGACAACTAGTTCCTAATCGGTACCTTCTGCACTCTAGAATGTTGCATCTGTGTCTGTCCTATCCAAGGGCAGACCGTAGTCGCTTTGACACTTCGTCTACGATTTCTGCCATGCTATGGGTACGTCGGTGAACTCGTCGTCAGTTGCCAGAGCCTACATGACCTGAGCAGTTAGTTGCCAGCAACTTCACAATGGTCCGAACCAGATTTTCCAACAGCCCAACAGAATGGAAACTCATTGCTGCGCCATCGCATCGTGCCGCGAACGATCTGAGGAGCTGAACAAGCATTTTTCTGGCCGCCTAGTCGTTCTCGCCTTCCCCTGCAACCAGTTTGGTCAGCAGGAGCCAGGCGGCTAGGGTCTTTTGGGAATGTCGCCAGCTTCCGAGGATCTGCAGTCGCCCATCAAGTGGAAACTCTCAGTGGTGGACTTCAGCAGTGTAAAGCCATCTTGTTCGGCACAAGGACAGCATGACGACGTAGGCGTATATGGTCGCATATGTGTGCAACGGAGTTGTCACGGACTGCAACGTAACGTAATCTAATGCAACAGCATAGTTCATGTGTACTGCAACGCACTTTAGCAAAATTTGACCTTCTTTAATGTTATGCATATCAATGTTTTTATTGTATCGTATCGCAACGTAATGTAGCATGGTAAAACTTAACATAAATTACTTTACGCAAGGTATGAGTCCGTGCATGCTTGGATGCATGAATGTAGGCACGCATGAATCTATGCACCTGTGTGTTGGTGTGAATGTTCTTTTATGTATGTATGCCATCATGATTTTTCATGTTTATGTGTTTGTACGTAGAATGTATGTATGTATGCATGCATGCATTTATGTCTCTATGTATGTTTGCATGTCTGTGTGTACGTAGGTATGCATGTATGTATGATGTATGCATGCCTGCAGCCTATCTGTGCATCCGTGTGTATGTAGGGGTGTGTATATGTATGCATGCATGCATGCATGCATGAATGAATGTATGTATGTATGTATGTATGTATGTACGTATGTGTGTATGTGTGTAGATGTGTGTAGGTGTTTGTGTATGTATGTGTGTGTATGGATGGATGGATGGATGGATGGATGGATGGATGGATGGATGGATGGACGGATGGATGGATGGATGTAGAGATTTATGTACGCATGTGTGTATGCATGTCAGTCTTTTGCATGCCGGCATGTAGGTATCTAGAAATGTATGTATGTATATGTGTATGCATGTATGTACGTTTGTATGCATGCACGTGGCTGTGGATGCTTGTTTGATGGGTTGTTTGTTTGTACGGATGCGTGCATGCAGATGCATGTAAGCATGTATGCATGAAGGTATGTATATAGCTACATATATAGAGTTGCATATACAGGCATGTGCGTTGTATCTGTACCACAAAATTATACACACCTGCTGCTCTGTAGCTGCGAAGATAGACAGATAGATGGATAGATAGATAGATAGACAGGTAAATAGATAGACGCGTAGACAGGGAGATAGATAGGTCCAGATAGGTAGATAGGTGGATGGGTAGTCTGGTAGACAGGCAGGCAGATAGGTAGATAGATAGATAGATAGATAGATAGGTAGATCGGGAATTTTGCAGGTAGATAGACCGACAGATAGGTATATAGATAGATAGATAGATAGATAGATAGATAGATAGATATTTAGATAGATAGATATAGATAGATAGATAGATAGATAGATAGATGGACTAGAAAGACTAGATAGATGTGTAGATAGATAGACAGACAGACAAACAGAGAGATAGGGAGACAGAGAGACAGAGAGGCGCATACGCACGTGTGACAGTTCGGGCACAATGTTCGGGGTGCACTTGCCCTAACCGCTGTTGTAGTCCTGAGCGCATCCTACAAGCCGAGTAGTTTCAGCATGGCCCGACCGAAGCTGCACAGACAGCCAACGAAGGGCGTGCCTGCGCACGGGGGCTGGCCCCTTAGGCCCTTTCAGATGGATAGGTGGAGTAGAAAGATAGTAAAAAGATAGCTAGATTTGGCACAGTCTATAAATTCTTGCATGTATGCCCTTGCACATGCGCATTCGTCACGGAGTACGGCCGGTTCTGTGCGTTGACTTGCCGACGCACAAACCATAAGCAGATGTGACATGTTCTTGTGCCGCGAGGCAGCGCATCGGAGATCAAGGCCTTCGTCAAAGCACAAGGCGCTCCCGTTGATGATTCTGACACAGGCTCGGCCGTTTCAACTGAGCGGGAGGTGTCCTGGCGAAGAAAATCCATCAGGCTTTCGCCTCATGGAAAAGGTGGATGTAAATGGACCTGGGACTCATCCCGTGTACAAGTTCTTGAAGGAGTCCTCAGAGGCAGCAGACATCAAGTGGAATCCTGCTTGCACCTTGTGTAATCCGGTGTTTACACTGTGTATGGTTTCACAACCCCACAATGCTCTCCAGCTGCAGCTCAGGAACTTTGGGAGCTACTTCCTGGTTAGTCATTTAGGTGCCGTCACGCGCCTGGCTGGTGGGAAGAACTCACCAATGTCCTTCAAAGACGCGGTTCAAAACGCGCTTTAGATTACGGGGTGACATCCCCGGCGGTGCTGCTTCAGTGTACAGCAGTTGATAATGCTCGCTGGTGACGGCACGCGCATAGCCCGGGGTTTGCCCGA